ATGGCCCTCGAATACTTACTAATCGGCTTCTTCTTTGGAATAAAGTGAATACTAATATCATTCTCACATATAAGGTATAATGTTTGTCAAATTTGGTTCAACCATTTTTCTCGAGTCATAAATGTAGTATTCACTTCCGAGTAAAAAATTATTTACTCTCGTGGTCTGTCAAAGGTTGAAATATGTTTGAGCTTTTACAGAGCAATCTAAAGTTAATTTAAACCAGTGATTGGCAATTATCATTTTAAAGTTTTATGTGAACCACTGATTGGCTTGAGGATATGAGGTGACAGTCAAATAAAAGCAACTGAGGCTCAGAAAAGAGCTGCAACACCAGGCGCAACACCACAAGTGATCAAATCTCTGCGGTAACAATCATTTTTGGATTACTTCATGTACTTCTAAGTCAGTTGTAATACTTGCAAAAGCCACACTGACCAAGCAAGTTTTCTATGCAAGCCCCACGCTGAACTTTAGGAGAACTATTCAACTATATGTTCATATATCTAAAGGAGTTTTCATTGTGTTTAGACTTCTTAATTTAGCTTTGATGTTTCTATTTTCAAAGGTTCACACAGAATAGGTACACACCTATTCTCTATTCTTTACATTTCCTTCTCCCTAATCCTTCTTTTCTAAAGTAATTCAGTCTACAAACTCATGAATCATAAACTTTAATGGAAACAGTAAAATAATAATATATTTCTGCAGACACGTCGATACCACGATCCGCCAGGGTTGTTGGTAAGAGAACTTCTGGAATCACAATATATACAAAAAAAGGTCCAGATTCTTTGTAGATTTATACATATATGCTTCTGAATTTAGTTATGGTATTCTGATATTATACTTTTCACAGCTTTGCGCGTCCTGGCTAAAAAAATTAAATCTCTCTACAGACACATCAAAATCACGATCTACTTGTGCCGTTGGAACAAGAATTCTAGAGCTACAGTATATAAAAACTTTAGGTCTAGATTATTTGTATATTTAAACATATATTCTTTTGAACTCAGTTCTGAATTTCTGTCATTATGCTTTTTCCAGCTTTGCACGACCATAGTAAAAAAATTATATCTCTCTGCAGGGACGTCCAAACCATGATCCGCTTATGCCATTAGAAAGAGGACTTATGAAACTAAATGTATAAAAAGTTAAGGTCCAGATTCTTTGTCAACTAATACAAATATGCTTTTGAATTCACTTATGAAGTTTTCACATCTTTGAGCATTATGACTAAAAAAAATCACATTTATTTGCATACACGTCGAATAGACAATATGCTTGTGCTGTTAGAAAGAGGACTTCTACAACTACAATATATATAATAATCAAGTCCAAATTATTTGTATATTTATAAACATATTCTTTTTCACTCAGTTATAAATTTATGTTATTATGTTTTTCACAGCTTTGCGCGCGTCAACTAAATAATTATATCTCTCTACAGGCATATCAAAACAATAATCCGCTTGTGCCATTGAAAAGAGATTTCTGGAACTACAATATATACAAAAATTATTTCCAGATCCTTTGTAGATTTGTCTCCTTTCTTCGGTAATATCCATCTTTCTTCATGTGAAATATGTTGTGGTTGTTATGTATTCACTATGATTGAACTATATTTTATACTTTAGTTGTATTACGATGGTTCACATATCATGGTCTTTTAATTACTTTCATCAGCACTTTTGACCATCGTTACTGATGTACTATTTTTCTTGGTTGAGTCCAACACAACAATTATGAAGGTGAATTTTGTACCTTTTTCTTAAATAGCCAAAGTACTTCAATCAGGTTTACAAGTAGGAAATATAATTTTGTATTTTTTTTTGTGTGCAGGCTACTCATAAATGTGAAGATATTGTCAGTTAATACCACTCCTCAGTATGAGTCATGGAGAAAGAGTTTGGGTGCCAATTCAAGTGGTTGGTCAATTAAGTATTATTAGGTTTGTGTACCAAACATTTCATAAAACTATCAAACTTGCCTTTCTACTAATTATTCTTTTTGCTTGATAGGATTTTGTGCAAGTTGCCGATGCATTACTGCTTCTTGAGGAGGTTTAAATACATTCTATTTTTCGTGTATCAAAACTCATAAATTAATTGTTCATCTGTAAATTCGTCAGGTCCACCATATTCGTTGCCTCAAAGGCGGATGTAACCTTATATAATCAGGTAATGAGTCTGAACCTCTAATTTTAAAATATAATAAGTTTCAAGCTAAAATGATGCACTCATAAAGTTTAAGTTCAGGTTTCGTCCCTGCCTTATCGAAGGCTAATCTTGCTCGAACATATGTTAAGATGGTTGGATACAAGTGCATATTCAATGGGCATGCTTTGATCTAGCTGTTGCTACTTGGTAATTCTTTTTGTGACTGTTTCTTTCTCAAATTACATAGACCTATGGCTTGGAATATTAAACCATAACATGCTTCACCGCCAAGAAAACCGGATGGCCGATGAAGTGCACCATAAATATCATCAAAGTCAAAAGTACATAAAAAAAAAGCACTCCAGATCAAAACTATGAAATAATTTTTACATAGCAATTTTAAAGTAGTTATTGGCAATTTTAATTTTAAAGTTTATTTGAACCAATGATTGGCTTCAGGATATGAAGCGACAGTCAAATGAGAGCAGTTGAGGCTCGGAAAGCAACTACAACACCAGCCATATCATCACAATTGATCAAATCTCTACCGCCACGATAATTTGAATTACTTCAGCCACTTCCAAGTCAGATGATACTTGTGAAAGCCACCCTAATCAAGCAACTCTGCTATGCAAACAACAAACAGAGAAACAAAAAATAAAAAATTAAATTCAATGCAATCATGGAGGGTTTATCAATTCAAGCAGCAATTTGATTGATGAATACAAAGAAATGGCATGTAATCGATTTAAGCTTGCCAAAATTTTTTAGAAACAACTCAAAGAAATTTATCTATTTATTTTTCAGTTTAATTCTTTTGAGTGCGGTTGTTAAATTTTGTTTGCAATACACATTTTTTTCTATTATCTCTTTCCGCTCTTTTCCCCCCTAAATTAATCCGCATATCGCGCGAGTACGTATACTAGTTTATACCAGAATAATAATTTCTATGAGAAGTTGGCAAAACGAAAATTTCTTTGATTTCTCTGTCTGTCGATGATGATGCCCATCCGTCGGCTACTCTATTAGAGCATTAACTCTAAAGGTTGCCAACGATTAAAGACTATTATTGAATGGAAAGGTTAATTATAATAATTGAAAGGACACAACTATTCTAGGAAAGAACACTTATTAACTAATATTTAAAATTCCAACCAAAAAAAAAAACTAATATTTAAAATGCATAAAAGATTCCATCATTTTATGGGAATTTTTATAATTTAACTTTAGGCTTAGGGATTTTCCATTTTTAATATAATATGCAAAAATAGAAGTTTTGTTAAACATTGATTAAAATGACACCACTTGTTTTATCTAGGTCAAACCTCACATATTAGATTTTATATTTTGGTGGTAACACATTGGACATCAACCAAAATTGAAAAAAAAATGCAATATAGCCGCTTCCAACAATAATAGCATTGAACCTTAGATGGCTTGTGGGGTTGAATAGACTACCATAGATCTCTTCTAAGGTTAGGATAAACTAAAGCGATGATAATATTCATGTGGTCAACTCTTTTAAAATTAATTAAGTGATAAGTAATAAACATTTTGACACTTATGAAAATAAATTTTCAGCAAAAAAGTGAATTTAACATTATAATTTTAACAAAGATGTTCATCCTTCTCTGCTATTTGCATTATTTGAGCGTATCAACTTACTAATAAGAGACCAACAATTACTTTTATCTGTTTTTAATCCAGCGTAATATTTTAGAAACTATAGAGATTATTCGAAAAACGTGATTTATTATCAAATAAAATTTTAAAAAACGAATTCTTGAAATTGATTATCGTCGATCAAACTATAGAAAATGAACTTTTCACTGAACAGGATATTGAGAACATAGACACAAGAGAAAAACATTAAAGTTCAGGAAGCTACCCTGTAGTTGCAATCCCTTCTCTTAGTTCAATCTTTTCGTTTTAATACATCAAATGCAAACTATCAGCTAAAATGGAACTCTCTAACAGATTACAACAACTAAAGTATCTAAAAATTTTGACATAGAGAAGTATCAATTACCAATTCATGGCACCCAAGGGTGTGGCGTTGTGGTCAATGAAGTAGGTTAGAACCATGATGTCTCAGATTTAATTCCCAGCATAGACAAAAAATACTATTCCAGGTGATTTCTTCTCATCTGTCCAAGCCTTGGTGCTTAAAGTTACCTAGTACATATTACTGATGGGAGATAATTGGTAGCTCGTGAAATTAGTCAGAGGTGTATGCAAACTGACCCCAGACATCACGGTTATCAAAAAAGAGTTTCAAAGTCATCTATTGAACATCCATAAATCAAAAGACAAAAAAGAGGTATCCCATGAACCACAGAGAAATCGAACACCAAATATAGTGTCCTTGTGCCTCGATTCCAACTTAAACCATACCTTTGGGAAAAGGCTATTCTTGAGAAAAAATTATAGCTGAAGTTCTTAAGTATTCAGAATCTTTTTCGAAAAATAAAAAGCAACAAAATTTAAAAATGAATAAGTGCACTAAATTTTCAATAGAGTAAACTGCATCACCAATCTAATAAAAACCAATATTTCTCCATCTCGCTAGGGGTCGTTGTTGCCAGCTTTCCACTTCTGAGTTCCACAGGATGCCAGCTTTGGTTCTGCCAATTGTAGGCTTTTAATTGACTATGCCAAGTCTTGCTTCCATGAGAAGTAGAATGACTCGAATTCTCTTCGTATACATTAAACGACTGACGAAACATCTAAGCATTTTACTACTTGATGTTATGTTGAGTCTCCTAGGATGACAACTCCAAAGCAAAGCATCCACAAAAGTTAGGTACGATATAGACGACTTTATAAATACATCTAAAACATTCACTTGGGAGGTACAAATTCTGTGGTCCAGTTCCAAATCTTTCCTGTTGATCTCATTATATATATCTTCACACGTGATAGCTCTAAAGATTTCAGATTCGGACATTCAGCAATATCCAACGTAGGAGGATCTTTCAAAGCACCAAAACAAAACAAGTGTTCCAAAGTTGGCGCGTGGATTTTAACATACCTGTTTCTCTTTGTCCTAATGGAAACTGACCTTATCTTTTGAAGACGAAGCAACTCAATATTTTCCAACCCAATACAATCTTCAACGACGAAATTGACAATTAAGGGACAACTAGAGAGTAGAGTCTGAAGCATGTTGTCATCTAAACGGACACCGGATAGAGAAAGCTTTTCCAAAGAATCACAGTTCACCCCATGACTACTTGATGATGAAAGATGCATCAGATCACAGTCTGTCAGAACCAATTCTCTTAAAGATTTTGATGTCAAAATAGGAAAAGGGTATAACGTACGAAAGAAGCCCGTACATACTACATCTTTTACACCATTCTGAACAGCAATACCAAGCCACTTATCAATCACAAGGAAAACTTCACGAGAACCCGACATTAAAATTGAAAACGTGAACTTGTCTATAGGGATTTTTCCATCCCTATATCTCTCCATAATTTTATTCACTATATTCATGTCTTTGTAATAGTGAATACTAAATATTAAGTTGGGATGAATCAACCAAGCTAGTAGCCATGCTTTGGAGAGAATGCTTGTTTGTGCTGCTTTATCAAAGCTAAGGTAAGAGACTATTTTGTCAATGAGACAATCAGGAATTATGTCTGCTGTCGCTCTCTCCATGCTATGAATGACGAAACCCTAATGTGACTGTGAATTTATAGATTATGGTTTTGGTAAAATTTCACACTCCTATCCGATGAAAAGTAAGTAAAACCCTATATATTTCTAACTATTTACATAATTTATCCTCCTTTTGTTAATTACTTAGATTATGTCCCTTAACTTTTCCCGTTGGTGTAAAATTCCGAATACATCTAACCCCTCTTGGCTTTTGGGCCCCAGCTTATCCTCACTAGAAAACCTAACAAATATAATTATGCATGTCTTATATATATGTATAGAAAAATAAAATCAGATACTACATGATCTAAGAAAATATTCAATAATACATTAAGCGAAAGGGTGGATTCTGTACAGATAGCCAACTCCGATTTCTAGCGAGTTTAAGATGTGACTTAAAAAACGGGGGGGGGGGGGGGTAAGGGGGGGGGAAGGAAGAATAAAGTAAAGTAAACGTACGAACACAACTAATTAGTTGTTGTGTAGTAGT